TGCATGTTTTCTTATCCTTGCATTGTACTCCAGGTGTTTGTAGATCCAGATTTCTGTTGCCTCAATTTGTAGTTGAAACCTTCTTCTGCAGCTTGAATGTTTTTCCCAAGCAATTTTATGCTTCATTAAGTCTCCAGTGGAACAGAGCTTGAGCTACACATCTGGCTCATCTCCACAAGGTGCCCAGACCTGACCCCAGCTGTTTAGCCCTCAGGTGGCCATGCTGCTGCCCAGCTGACCAGAGCCTGGGTCCCCTGGGGGGAGAGGTCCCTCCTGTGGATGGAAGCTTTGTCTTTGCGCAAACTCTCCATCTGTGGAAACCCTGGCGCCGCCTTAACGATCAATGGCATTTCTTGGCAGAGGCTGGGAAAGGCAAACTTCTCTGCTACACAAGGATTAAGTCTTAGACCAGAAGCAAACTTTCCTCTGCCTCTGCAGTGAGCTTATCTCTCAAACAACATTCAGGCTATTTCCCAATAGAGCCTGTGCTGGCGCGGCCAACGTTTTCTAGTTAGTTAAGATGATATCCCATCTGGCCAGCATGCAGAGTTGTGCTAGATTTAAACGTCTTCTCTCTGTCTTTCTCATACACACACACACACACACACACACACACACACACACTCACACACATACAAACACATATTTGTGTGAGAAACTCTCAAACTGACTCAATGTCAGAACGTACAGAACTGATAAGCAGAGCAAGGTCGCATGAGGAGGCATGGAAGGACATTCTAGCACAACCAGGGTTTGGAAGCCAGATCATAACACAAGCCCTGGTCACTTGCCCTTTCCTGCATGGAAATGCTGCAAATAGAAGGAAATATTGAGCAAAATTAATAAACAAATGAGGACCTTGCCTGCCAGTTTAATAGAAGCATTAATAATGAAGCAAAGTTTTATTAGGTTAAGAGAGGTTAAGTGGTAATATTAGTAAAGTGGTCAATATAGATTTTCTTCTTTACAGACAACTATCAGACCCTTCTGAAAGGATGTACTATTATAACTCTCTTCTCGGCATTCACTGTTTCTTAAAAGAGGCATTTTTAAAGGTTTTAAAAAATTATTACCACTTTTTCCAGAGACCCCTGTTTGAGGCGTGAGTCCAGAAGCTTCGTCTTTAAAGAAGCCCTCACAGGGAACTCTTGTCAGTTGTTCGAGGCTTGCTGCCAACAATTGAGGTATTTACCAAGAGTTTCCAAGAAATTGCTGCAAATTATATGAAATGTTATACCTGTAACAAGCTTTCAATGTATTAGCAACAGAAAAAAGTGTAAAGTGTGTGGGAACAAAGTTGCAATTTGTGAGAAAATGTTTAGTAAGGGTAAAGTAGGTAGACATGCATTTTAATTCTGTGTCAGAGAATCACATTCATGAAAACAGGAAGTGAGATAATCCGGCATTTTTTGAACACATTTCTAAATATTGGTCTAGAATTACTACAGAGGAGCCTTTAGCTTGATTATGTGCAAAGATCCATTTAGAAACAAAAATTCGGAGCCACTGAGCCCCTGCAGGTGGGACTTGCTCAGTGTAGCACTCAGACCCCATCCCACCATCCTCACCCCGACCCAGCACAAATCTACCTCTTGGGCTGGGTATGTGTCATTAGGATTCTTCATGGGTTTCCCTTATGGGAGTTCCTGATTATGGTTAACACCTCCTCTTTTTTTAGGATGAGAAAACTGTCAGTGACTCCCTCAACTTAACAGAGAAGTTCCAAGTGTAGCAAAATCAAGAAACCTGGTATTAATATCATGATAATTCTTTCCTCACTTTATTGCAGTGAAATGCCTATAAAATCGAATCAACCTGCCTCCTCCTCATCTTTAAAAATGAATTAGGGCGAGGTGGGCAAGTAGGGCAAGAAGCCACCCTGGCCTCTAGGAGGTTTTGGGGAAGAAGGATGTGTGTGTGTGCACTGGGGCAAATGTCTGAGACCCTTGCTGACCTCCCTGACTCCCTGCTGGTATTGGCTGGTCTCTGGACAGGCCTCCATACTGGGGCTACTAGCTCTGCCTGGCCTTTCAGGCCTCTGGCTGCCACTGAAGTCCTTGGTTTCAGGTATTTGCTTCCAGAAGTGAAATCCCTGCTTAGGATAGCCTTGTCTCCTGATCCAGGCCCCTTGCTGGGACACTTTTGGCTTTCTCCCCAGGAGAACTGCCTCCATTTCTTCTAGCTGTGCTGGAGCTTCCACTCTGGCTCCTTGCTGGAAGCAGCCCCTGCCCCCATATTCTTCTTTCTTCTCCTTCCTACCCTCCCTTGGCCTGGCATTCCTCTTTTCCTAGAAGGACTTCCCTTATGTTTTCTTCTCCTTCTCCTGGGGACTGTAAGCCTTCAGGGTCAGCCTTTAAGGAGAAAAGGGTATCCTCTCTACCTGTCAAAAGAAACATCCCCAATTCAGCCTGCAGGTGAGGTAGGGGAGGCTGTTGACCTAGGAACTGAGGGACAACCTGGAACCAGTGAATTGAGGAGGACAAAATATTCATCATCCTCAAAATATTATTCCCATCACATGTTTATGTGCTTTTCATTGGATTTTAGTTTAGAAGAGGAAAACCAGACAAGTCTAAAGCACATTAGAAAATATTGAAATCACTGACGATGTCTTAAAGTTGAACATCTGCATCTTGCCAGATTTGTGCTTTATGTAAATCATTGTGAATTATGGGGCTGTTGCTGAATTTGGGGGATCTGGTGACTCCTTGGCATTTGTGGTTTATGGTCTTACTGGAAACCTCTTTGGACGGTTTTTGAGCCTGTAATTCATGGTTGTATGTTCTGTATTTTTCCCAAGACCACTGCTAGAATCCTGTATTCACTGCATAATGAGTATTTTATTTTTAGGTGCGGATCACCTCTTAGGGAGGGAGTCTGTGGGAAGGTGGGTAATGAACTATTTTTGACATAAATCACAAGTGTCAAAGAAAGTGGTAATGTCCAAAGAATAAACAAGAGTGACCACCATTCAGTTGCAGAGAAGGTATATGCAGCTACCACTGCTTGGTATTTTAAACTTTGTAATATTTCAATTATTTGGTCATATTAACAATGAAGAAAGATCCAAGGATTACCCCATGCTTGCTTACTTTCTGTCCCTAATTCTTGGGTTTATTTGATTCAATGAAGTGAACTTTTTAGGCCCAGGGAAATACTTTTTTTTTCAAGAGTTTCATTGGAAAACCCCAATGTATTGGCAACTAAGTAACAAGACTGATATTTACTCTATATAAAGTTTGTTGTATGGGTACCCTCTCAGCTTTTGTTCCCTTAGCTGAGTTTTTGTAGGAAAAATGTATAAAATTTAAAATCCAGCATAGAGGAGCTAGTATCCAATACCTGTATTTAGAAATCCACAGCACGTTTATAGATGGACTATATTAAAATATTGACAACTGATGCCTAGCACTTGGGAGTCCTAGGTGAGAGAATCGCCTGAGGCCAGGAGTTCGAAACCAGCATGGGCAACATCTTGAGAACCTGAACCTGTCTCTACAAAAAGTAGAAAATTAGCTGGGTGTGGTGGTGTGGCGCACGTCTGCAGCCCCAGCTACTGGGGTGGCTGAGGCAGGAGGATCACTTGAGCCCAGGAGTTTGAGGTTACAGTGAGCCCTGACCTCGACAACTACACTCCAGCCCAGGTGGCACAGCAAGACCCTATCTAAAATATATATATATGTGTGTGTGTGTGTGTGTGTGTGTACATAGGTATACTCAGATACACACAAAGACTCAAGCTAGAGGAACTAGTCAGCTATCTGCCCACACAGAATGCAAATAAAAGTAGTGTTTACCATGTGGAGTATTAACATCATTTACCATTTCTTCAACATCTATTAAATGCTGGCACTGTGTGAGGAGTCTGGGCATTAAACATTAAATACGGCTCCCCGCCCCCCTTACTTAGCTCAGAACCTAGCGACGGGGAACAAGGTGACTGAATGCCGGGCGCACTCTCCGGGCGGGCACGTCGCAGACGGCCCCAGCTGTTGACTCTATCGCGGCTCCTGCCCGCAGCGGCGGGCACAAAGGTACAGTGTGAATCGCGGACGCGGCGAGGGCGCGGAGTCGGCCTGCCCGAGGGAAGGGCGTGGCCGCGGGTTGATCTGAGGACAGCCTACGCGGGAGGGACGTGCGGTTCGTGGGGGCCGGGAAGCCCCTTCTGCAGAACTCGCTCCCCCGACCGGCGCGGGCGACGCCGCGGCGCAGGAGCGGGCTGGACGCGGGCACCACGCCCTCGCGGGGCCGCCCGGCGCCGCCGGGAGTCGGAGCGCAGGCCGGCGGGGGCGTGGCCGCGGATAACGGGCTGCTCCGGCCCCCACGCCCCCTCCGTCCGCCGCCCCAGTCGCAGACCGCGGGCGGGGCGCGCAGGAGGATTTTTTTTTTAATGTCAAACTTTGGCCACGTGAACCGCCCCCCATTCACTTTTGCGCCAATCGCGCCGCGCGGACGGATCCCGAGAGGGGCCACGGCTCGCCGCCTCGGGGCCGCTTCATAACGCGCTGTGCGTGACGTGAGTGGCTCCTGTTGCAATGGCGAGCTAAGCCGGAGGATGTGCTGCTGCAGCGGCGGCGCCGGCCACGAAGAGGACGGGGGCAGGCGCAGCGCGAGCCGAGCCGAGCCAGTCGGGGGACGCGGGCAGGGCGGGACGGGGGCCCGGCCTCGGCTGCCACCGCCGTCGCCGTCGCACTGGCCGGCCTGCGCGGCGGCGGGAGAGCCGCCGCCGCCTCGCGCCCGAGCCGCCGCCGGCGCGCGCCGGGCATGGTCCCTCTTAAAGGCGCAGGCCGCGGCGGCGGGGCGGGCGTGCGGAACAAAGCGCGGCGCGGGCCTGCGGGCGGCTCGGGGCCGCGATGGGCCGGCGGCCGCGGCGGCCGCGGCGCTGCCCGGCCGGCCTCGCGGCGCTAGGACGGGCTGGCCTCCGCGGGCGGGGGCGCGGGCTGAGGCGCGCGGAGCCTCGGCGGCGGCGGCGGCGGCGCCGGCGGGCGGAGCGGCGCGGCATGGCCGCGCGCGGCCGGCGCGCTGGCTCAGCGTGCTGCTCGGGCTGGTGCTGGGCTTCGTGCTGGCCTCGCGGCTGGTGCTGCCCCGCGCCTCCGAGCTGAAGCGAGCGGGTCCACGGCGCCGTGCCAGCCCCGAGGGCTGCCGGCCCGGCCCGGCGGCGGCGGCGGCGGCTCCCCAGGCCGGCGGGGCGCGCAGTGATGCGCGCGGGGCGCAGCTCTGGCCGCACGGCTCGGCCGCGGATGGCGGCCCGCGGGACAAGAACTTTCTCTTCGTGGGAGTCATGACCGCCCAGAAATACCTGCAGACCCGCGCTTTGGCTGCCTACAGGTGAGCCCCTGCTCCCCCGGCACCGCTTCCTGCATCCAGCATCCCAGCTCGTGGCCGTGCGGGTCCTCCCGGGGCTCGCGCTTCGCCCGCTTCTCCTGGGGGATCCGGGTGCCTCTCGATAGATGCCGGGCTTCGGCAGCGGAGAGATGGGGAGCGCTAGGCTCCAGAGCATCGGCTTTGGGGTCAGATGGACTAGGGTGGTTCCTCTGGGTGTGCCTCACCCTGACCTTCCACAAGGCATTTCAGTTTTCCAAGTCCAAGCTCTCTCTTTTGTTAAAAGGGCCCGACTGATTGTGTCTCCCTCATAAGGCTGTTGGAAAATTAGCACAGTACCTGTGGTCGTGGTGGCAGTGGGATTGATTCTCTAAAACTCGCACTTTTGCCCTTGCAAAGCTAGAGCCCATGTAAATTAATCTGGTTCTAGAGCCTTTCCATACCATACTTTCAGATTTCACAGTTGGGGGCACTCCTGCAAATGAAAGGGAGTGCCCACTGCTCACTGGACCATGCCGGGTCTGTCGAGTAAAGAGGAGAACCTTGGAGAAAAGCAGTTCCTGGCCTATGGTGGACTCAGTGGAAGACTGCATTACCGGTGTTAATTAATTCAGTTTAGTGGTGTATGCATTTTATCCAGTAATTGAGCCCTGGTTGGCCACATGCATCATGAAAGTGGCTGGAATCATGTTCAGGTTTAACAAAAGCATTAGTCAAAGTAGTCTTTAGAAGGGAGATGATTTTGGAATGGCTGGCATGGTTAGAATCAGATTTGTATTGGAGCGAATTTAAAGTAGGAGAGGATTGTAGACTCAATGAAGGTATTTGATGTAAACCTTCTATGTGTGAACTATAGAAACGCTTACTGTATGGATGAAGTTTGGGTTTCATCCAGCCACAGAACAAACTAACAACGTGGGGAATGGTTTTAGAGCATGAGCATTCTGGGAATGAAATTTTAGAGCAGTCAATGCTGGGCGGCAAGGCTAAGCTAGTTGCTGTTTGTTCTTGATTTATAACCAATACCTTTATACTTCAGCTTTTAAGTCTAGTCCTGGTCTGAATTTTCTGATGTTAGATGTGAGGGGAAAAGCATATAGCTTCTCCCCTTCCTTTAAGGGAGGCAGTAAAGGATTGAGAAAAAGCGTGAAAGAGCTTTCTTGAATGGCTGTCCTTTGACTGTCTTGATCCCCTTTCCTGCATGTTTTCATTAAGATCTTGTTTAAGTCCATGTGTTGCCAGGAAGGGTCCTGAGCAGCTGAAAAGTTTAGCATACAGACAATGTGAATATAGACTAATGCAGTGTCTTGGGAACCAGCAGATTAGGGCTCTCATGCAGACCTGCCATGCATTACTTGGAATTTTATGTGAATCATACTTGTTTTAAAATTTATTTTTTATTTTAGCATATTATGGGGGTACAAGTGTTAAGGTTACTTATATTGCCCATGCCCCCCTTCCCCCTCAAGTAAGAGCTTCAAGCTTGTCCATCCCCCATACATTGCACATCTTACTTGTTGTGGTTGTATATACCCCTCCCCTCCTCCCCCCCTCCCACCCTCCTGATACCCGATATATGTTTGTCCAATATGTCCACTTAGGTGTTGATTTGTTAATACCAATTTGCTGGTGAGTACTTGTGGTGCTGGTTTTTCCATTCTTGAGATACTTCACTTAGTAGATGGGAATCATACTTTTTGACCAGAGAAACAGCCACATCAGAAATTGAGGATAAGATTTATAAGTTGTGTACAGCATGGTTTTGCAAATAAATCCATACATATGATGGCAGTTGTGACAGACCATGTGAAATCATAACTTTGGGAGCAATTACCAAAGTAGTTTCTTCAAATAGTAGATTAGGTGACTCGCCCTGCCAATTGCATTTTCATGGTTACGAAATCAATATATACAAATCAGTGGAGGTCCTGATACACCAGCAATACTCAGAAAATGTAACACAAACTGGAACCACTGTTTCACACTGGGGAATGTTATCCCAAAGCCTGTGCCTGATGCTCACTCTTTTGGCCTCTTTTGTATATCTCCTACCTCATCTTTTTTTGGATGTTAGATTTTTATCTCACTGTTTATTTTATTTCAGGCATTGGAAAGTAGAAATACAGTTTGTCCTCTGGACCTGTTCTCTCTTCTTTTTGACACCTCTGTCTTTCTGAGAAGCACAGCAGGAAACACAGTATCCTGTCACTCTTTCTGCTTTCTCACATACCTTTTCTTTTATTTTTCTCATCCCAGAAATCACTGTACTGAGAGCCTGGTGGTGGGCCTACCCTGCTAGTTAGGGTCCTCTGCATCTCTGCTTGTCAACCCTGTGTTTAGACTGGCTGTGGGAGATGGCACAAGATGATTTTAGCCTAAGACTAAAAAGTTAAGGAACTTTGGGGGAAGGCCTCAATTGGGATGGAGGTTATAGGGTATAACTTATGATTATGGTTTTGCTGTGCTTTGCAGCCAGGGCCAAAAGTCCACACTGAGCTCTTAAAGTGGCAATTCCATGCACAGCATAGTATAGAAGTAAGCTTGAATCTCCTAGCACAAGGTGGAACTCTGGTTTTGAACTGGATGTGCTCAGCTTTACATTTTCCCTAAAAAAAAATTCATTCTTTATCTTATAAAAAACTCCAGTTTTTGGTTTTTTAAAAACAAAACTATTGTTTGACTTACACGTGAAGGAGATGCTAACACTTTCAGTAAGATGGCATTATCGGTAGGATATTGAAAATGTCAGAATTTGGGTCTGGGAACTAGAAACTAGCAACCTGTTCTTTCCAAGAACTGAGATCCAGAAAGGGACTAAAACGCTTTTGAAAAAATCCAAGGAGATAGACCCATCTGCACTAAAGTCACTGCACTTTAATGATAGAACAGTCCCATCATTACACATTTGTACTTTCTAGATGTGCCATATGCATGAGGTCAGGATAGGGGCCACCAAGTGATAGCAGGGCAGTAACAGCTGATAGCAGACAAGAAACAGATTTTAAAAAGTAAGTGTAGCAGCAGATGAGAGACCAGCCAGGGCTAACTTCTATAGGCCCTGGGTAGGCATGGTAGCTGTTAAGTTCACAGGAGTGATCTGATTCATTAAAATGTTTAGATGCACTTAAGATTCATCCCTTTGTAAAGCAAATACATGCATGGCCCCTCTGGGTCCAGGCCCTGAGTGTTGGGCACACAACAGTACAGATGCTTGTTCTTATGTTCTCTAATTGGAGGGACAGACACTAAAAAAAGGTTTCAGCAAGTGATGGGTGCTGTGGAGAAAATAGAACAGGGTACGTGAGGGCAGGTGGAGTGGTGTCCTCTCTCTGTATTAGGTGGTTGGGAAGGCTTTGAAGAGGTGGCATTTGGCCTGAGGTCTGATAATGAGGAGCCAGTTGTGAGAATATAATTGCCAAAAGTGCTGGGCAAAGTGAAGAGCTGCAAAGTCCCAAGGCAGGAACCCCAAGAAGGCCAAAAAAAGAAAGGGAATGGGCCAGCAGTGTCTGGTCTTGTGGGATTTCATTCTAAGTAAGTGAATTAGAAAGCTTCTGGAGGGTTTAAGCAGGAAAGGGCGGTGGGTAGCTGGGGTTCTGCAAATGAACATAAAATTACTTGTTTTGACTTAATCTGCAAAGTATTTGTATTCTAGGTAATTTTACTTTAAAAGGATACATGATTCCTCTGAAATAGTTTATTTTGCTAATTAGTGACAGGTTGTCCCAACCCCTGGGTTCCTTGTATCATGTGTTACTAGCTGCAATTCATATTTTTCCCATATTTAAAACTTTTTTCCTAGTTACATTCTTTGATATTCAGAAGGTAAACATTTGTGTGCTTTTTTATCTGCATCTTTCCCTTTCTGATTTTAGGCTCCCCCCTTACCCCTTAAGCTCAGAAAGTTACTGCTCTGGAGAGATTTTTAAAGGTAACATTTTTCCCCCTAATTCTAGAAAGGGTGGAAATCATTTCAATCTTATTTTTTCCCCAAGTAGTACATTGTCTCAGTACCATCTGTTGACTAAGCTCTCATTTCCCTACTGATTTGAAATGGCATCTTCATCATACTCGAAATTCTTGGGTATGTTTTTGGACTTTCTATTTTGTTCCATTGATATTTCTGTCTGTTCTAGTGCCAGTACCACCCATTGGAATTATTGAAGGTTGAATAATATTTTAATATCCGGTAGACAAGTTCCCCTTTGTTATTCATCTGTTTCAAACGTTGTTTTGGCTACACTTACCTGTTCTTGCTGAAAGAGTTTTGATGCTATATAGATTTTTTTAAAATCAATATTTTGATAAAAAGCATACATATTTAGCTTTTTGGTCCATTTTTTATGCCCAGAACACTAAGCTAATCCAATACCTTTTACTTGTCTTGGTTCTTACCTACCCTGGCTAAAGATGGGGAAGAGTTTTGTTCTTTCTTTACTTTCTCAGAAGAAAAGGATGGATGGTTTCCCTTCTTTGCTTCAGGAGTGATAACGGGCAACATTAAAGATTAGCATCAGTCTCTAGGGGACTGTGGGAAAAAAGTTTGAGAGGCACTAGCTTTAGATGTAGGAATCTTATTTCGAGATACTGTATCAGTTAATGACCTCTTCCTAATGAAGGCAGACTGTTCCTTTTACCAACCTTAATGAGTTCCTCCTACCTTGTAAATCTGAGTTCATTTCCTTATTTCTTTTGCTAAGTAAACCATGTTTATCTTGAAACAGTTCAGAGTAGTACTTGCTTTCTTAGATGGAATCCAATTTGGCAACATTTACACAGACGGCTTTTGTTTATAAAATCCAACTAATCAATCCGTAAGTGAACTTTTGGAACACAACCCATTTCAGGTTATGAATTTCCTATAGAAGACTACTGAACAATGTGGCCCTGAGAAAGAGTGTGGTTTTTATGTCATAGTTGAAGATCTTGATGCACTCAAACAGAATATTCCAGAGATAGCCATGGTTATCAGTAGAGGATTATGCATAATTACATTTTCATGGAACTGG